AAGCACTAAAAACAATGGAATAATACAAAATATATCACATGTATGTGAAGGAAGTGTCCTCCCTGGCTTGTAAACAATGGCACACTGGCTTTACATGGACTCAGGCCACGCGGACACATTCGGAATGAATGCCCTTAACCGAGTTCTTGGGCGTTAGCCGAGTCAATATTTTGATGCAAAAACATGCAGTTATCTGATTTTGGCAATAGCTGATGCCGCTGTTACCTGAGGGTCCACTGTAGAGGAAATCAGCTCTAATATACATAACAGCCTCTCCTCACTTAGAGATGTACTCGTTACCGATGCCTTGGACTTACAACGGGGTCTCTGACCAGTATGCATGCCTAAATAATATATATTAGAGCTGATTTCCTCTACAGTGGAACCCTGGTTTTTGGCCTGTGCAGAAATCAGCCAGTTTGGAAATCGAGCACTTTTTTTCAGCAAAATTTCTCCCCGGATTTCATGCATCCGCTTGGAAATCGTTGGTACCAGACACGTTCACCTGGGCAGCTCATGTGTTCATGACTCACTCTTGGGCACATTAAATGTCTTATTTTAGGTTAATATAGACATTTTCTTTAATCCATCTATGATATTTTCTTCAAAATTATACAAGAAACACATTACATAGCATATAAACATGCCTTTCTTACTTGTTCACTGAGAGTGTCCCTCTAATCTTAATGCCATAGTTATAATACTAATACGTAATAATAATCACTCTTGGGCACATTAACCCTTTGACTGCCGCAACCCCCAATCCTGAGGTGTCTCCTGGTGTCGCAAAATTTAAAAAAAAAAATTATTTTCTCTTGTGAAATGATAGAGAATCTTTTCTCGATTGTAATGACACCAAAAAAATGAAATTTGATGGAAAACTGACGGAATTATGCTCTCGCAAAGTTAGTGACCTCGGTGCTGTTTACAAATCGGCGATTTCGCCCACTTTGAGCCCTATTTTCAGCTAATTCCATTGTTCCAGTCGCCCAAACTCATAGCTATTTCTTTAGAACTCCATTTTTTCTATCGATTGAGTACAAGAAACTGCCCATTTACCGATTTCAACTAGTACCTAATAATGTGGTCAGAAATTTGCAATTTGGCCAATTTCACAAAAACTAAAAAATATGACAATTTCAAAATACGGTCCAGAATGAACAATGCAGACATTCCTGGCTCTAAAATAACATTTTCTTTGCTCATCAGTCATGTCTCCAGGTCCCTCTGATATTACTCTTGCTTTCTATTTTGAATTTTTATTCAAACAAAAAATAGAAGACTTACTATTATGCAGACTACTGCAATACTGTAATAATTGTATAAATAACATCAACCCATTCATGACTGCATATTAGAATGGCTAGTTGGACATTTATTGGACAATGGCACCATTTGGTTACTTTTGAACATTGGCAAAAATCAAACATTTCCCCTACTTTGAGCTCCATTTCTAGGTTCTTTTTATAGGAAAATCAATCAAAATCACCTCTATTTCTATAATATGTTTTCCATTCTATCAAATGAGACCAAGAAAAACGAGAATACAACCATAAATACTATACGAAAATAGACCACAAAGTCGGCATTTTAATTAAAAAAAAACGGTCGGAGTTTTTTTCTCATTATGCACTGCGTGCTCCAGGATTTTTTTTATATGGTGCACACTGACCACACAGACCCCTTCTCTCACATGTGGGCCTACCAGCTTTCTCCTGCTTGATTTGAAGCCGCTGGAATTTATGAGTATATACAGTATACGTCAAACATGGTACCTCGTAAGATGTATATATACGGCCGCGACAGTCAAAGGGTTAAATGTCTTATTTTAGGTTAATATAGACATTTTCATTAATCCATCTATGATATTTTCTTCAAAATTATATAAAAAACACTGTACATTAGCATATAAACATACAATGTTTATATGCTATCTAGTGGTGAGTCGGTGGAGGGTAAACATTATGTTTTCTCTGGTTGAACATTAGAGAAAACTGTGAATCTGGTGTCTGGCTCAGTCACTCCCCTTAATACGCATTTGTTTACAGTTCTTGGCATGAATTATTCATTATATCTCCCTTTGTTTATGATGGCATCTAAAGGTAGTTGTTAAAAACAATTAAACTCAGTGAACATGGTATGTCAAGGGTAATAATATGGTTATGTTCTGCAGTGTAGGTAGCTACTAGGTGTAGCCCAGAGGGACTACATACATGTACATACATCTACCGGCTACCTACACTGACTTCCTACAAATATATACTACAGTGGAACCTCAAATTTCGAACATATCGCTTATAGAACTCTTTGAAAATCAACCACTTTTTTCGAACCAACCTTGTCCCTATTATCGAACTCGCCCCTATTTTCGAACCGCTGGGTACCGGACCTATCCACCAGCCCACTCCGTCTGCGTCCCCGCGCAGGCGCCACGAGCCAGTCTGGCTTGGTTGATGCTTGAGTGTACACTAACCTGTAGTCTCATTCAAACAATTTATGATTAATTCATTGTGTTTAGTGCTTGTGGGACTGTGAAATAAGCTACCATGGTTCCAAAGAAACTTGCTAGTGGTACCCCTGTGGTAAAGAAAGTGAGAAACACCATACATTAAGACTACGAATATTTTAAGGTAAATAATGAATGTACTAACCACTGAAGAGCTGCAACACTATAGTTATTCCCTATAAAATTTATTTTATGTTAATATTTTGGGTGTCTGAAACGGATTAATTGGATTTACATTATTTCTTATGGGAAATATTACTTCGGTTTTCAGCTATTTCGGATTTAGGCCAACCTTCTGGAACGGATTAATTGCGAAAACTGGGAGTCTACTGTATTTTGTTTATTACAATATGCAGTACACTACTGTATAAATATTTAAAAATATACCAGAAATGTTATAAATGATGCAAAGGTGACATTAAAACAATATCAAAGATAGGCGACACAAACCCACCACTATTATAGTATGCTCCTCACTTAGCGACGAATTCGTTTACCATCGTTATCTTAGGAACGGAACTCCGTCGTTAAGTGAGAAGAGTCTGTATTTAGGTATGCATACTGGTCAGAGAGCCCGTCGTAACTCAGTGAACATGGTATGTCGATGGTAATAATATGGTTATGTTCTGCAGTGTAGGTAGCTAGTAGGTGTAGCCCAGAGGGACTACATACATGTACATACATCTACCGGCTACCTACACTGACTTCCTACAAATATATACTACAGTGGAACCTCAAATTTCGAACATATCGCTTATAGAACTCTTTGAAAATCAACCACTTTTTTCGAACCAACTTTGTCCCTATTATCGAACTCGCCCCTATTTTCGAACCGCTGGGTACCGGACCTATCCACCAGCCCACTCCGTCTGCGTCCCCGCGCAGGCCCATGAGCCAGTCTGGCTTGGTTGATGCTTGAGTGTACACTAACCTGTGGTCTCATTCAAACAATTTATGATTAATTCATTGTGGAGTTTTGAGACTCTATGACCGCGGGTTCAATCCCGGCCGGGGGTATGGTTTATTAATTCATTGTGTTTAGTGCTTGTGGGACTGTGAAATAAGCTACCATGGTTCCAAAGAAACTTGCTAGTGGTACCCCTGTGGTAAAGAAAGTGAGAAACACCATAGATATGAAGAAGGAAATAATACAGAATTATGAGAGTGGTGTGAGACTTGTTGAGCTTGCCAGGATGTATGGGAAAAACAAATCAACCATTGCTTCTATCCTGGCAAAGAAAGAACAAATCAAGGAAGTTGATGTTGCAAAAGGAGTTAATATGCTAACCAAAAAAAAGACCACAGACAATCGATCAGGTGGAGAAGTTGTTGCTGGTGTGGATCAAGTTATTTTGTGAGACAGGGGTCCAGTGACTCTCAAGCTGGTCCCAGTGACATTAAAAGACAGAGAAGGGAAGTAATCCCAGAGAGGGCTTTGATACCTAAAGTCCTTTTGGAAGGGGATTTCCCTTCCAAACACTAACCTCAGCTCCTCCTCTCCTCCTCCCTATCTTCCAGATGCCATCACCAATCTTCAATATAGGTAAGGAAAAACGTTATTTTATATGTTATTTAAATTTATTAATAATTGTACACTATATTTGTTGTGTGTATGTAAAACTATAATGTAATACTATCTATAATATGTATTTTTTGTGAATATTTTTGGGTTTCTGGAACGGATTAATTGTATTTCCATTACGTATTTCTTATGGGAAATATTGCTTCGCCTTTCAAACTTTTCGAATTTAGAACTAGCTCCTGGAATGGGTTAAGTTTGAGGTTCCTCTGTACTCAACTCTTACCCTACATTAAGACTACGAATATTTTAAGGTAAATAATGAATGTACTAACCACTGAAGAGCTGCAACACTATAGTTACTCCCTATAAAATTTATTTTATGTTAATATTTTGGGTGTCTGAAACGGATTAATTGGATTTACATTATTTCTTATGGGAAATATTACTTCGGTTTTCAGCCATTTCGGATTTAGGCCAACCTTCTGGAACGAATTAATTGCGAAAACTGGGAGTCTACTGTATTTTGTTTATTACAATATGCAGTACACTACTGTATAAACATTTAAAAATATACCAGAAATGTTATAAATGATGCAAAGGTGACATTAAAACAATATTAAAGATAGGCGACACAAACCCACCACTATTATAGTATGCTCCTCACTTAGCGACGAATTCGTTTACCATCATTATCTTAGGAACGGAACTCCGTCGTTAAGTGAGAAGAGGCTGTATTTAGATATGCATACTGGTCAGAGAGCCCGTCGTAAGTCTGAGTCGTCAGTAAATGAGTATGTCGCTAAGTGAGGAGAGGCTGTATTGTTATTTGTAATGTTCAGCAATTTTTTTTTTTTTAATTTATGTATTTTATCCATGGTATAGAAGACAAGGAGTGTCAACTTCTCAGTTTCCTATACATGAAAATGTCTAGCTTAATAACTCAAGAAAAATTATTCCTTTGCTGAATTTTAGGTGTGACGGTGAGAAGGACTGTGCTGATGGAACTGATGAGCCTCCAGGCAATATTTGTCCTAAGCGAAATTGTAGACCAGGACAGTTTCAGTGTAATGATGGCCATGGTTGTGCTGCGGCAACACAGCTTTGTGATGGACAAAATGACTGTAATGATGGGTATGTATTACATTTTACACATGCCAAATATTTATACCAGTTTACTAGTAGATATTATCTTCCACTGGCCTCCATCATAACAAGCATTAGTAGGACAGATAATTCAGATATGTAGTTGTATTTTATTATTATTATTTTTTAATACACCAGCTGTTTCCCATCAAGGTAGAGTGACCCAGTAAAGAAGAAACACTTTCACCATCACTCACTGTCACTGTCTTACCAGAGGCATGCTGACATTACAGCTCATATGCCCCTCCAAATTGTAATATCCCTACCCCTACTTCCAAATAGTGATGGAGAGTGAAACTGCTTGATTACATTGTTATGCTGTGGCTTGACCTTTTCAGTGGCCATCACACAGAACTATGACATTGAGGCCATCGTCCCTCATGTAGTTGTACATCATGAGCTCAACTCACTCAAATAAGCTGTGAGTGGTAAATTTTGGCCTAGATATAAGAGAATGGGTTTGTGTGGGGAGTGTGCATTGGATAAAAAAAATCCTGCCCTACTCAGTACGTGACAGGGAAAACAAAACTCTGACCTTGTGTTTGGTTTAAAATAACAACTTTAAGTTTTCTTTTGTGGTTTTTATGGCTTTATTGGCTTTTTTTTTATTATTATTTGATATAATGAAAGACATACTACTGAAATAAAGATAGCTTTAGTTGGTTTCTAGGACTGGAGGTAGCTTAAATTTGGGCTCAAAGTAACAGAAATATTCAATTTTTGCCAGTTTTCCTGAGGATGGGTAAAGTGGTTATGAATTCAAAATGGAAGACAAGTGCAATATAGGAGAGGTCTGAAGACATGATTAATGAACAGACAAAATGTTGTTTTAGTGCTAGGAATGCCTACATTGTTTATTTTGGATTCTATTTTTAAATTGGTATTTTTTTAATTTTATGTAAAACTGGCCAAATCACTGACTTCTGTGCACTTTATAGCATAGTTGTAATAGTTGAATTAGTATTTTCTTGTGCTCTCTCAAAAACATCTTATCTCCCTGATCCGCCCCGACAACTAACTACATGATAACCACCTGGTGGTTCACAATTACACTCACTCACCCACTGACTATAAACCCAGAAATACTAATCTTAATCTTAAAATAATAAATCCTAACTAGTCATAAGTTTGCCTATGATACTCCAATATAGATGCCTTGTATTGTGCCAAAACAAAAGCATTCACATTGCTAAACTCACAAATTATGATGTAGTCACTTAGCCTTAATACCATAATCTGTAAGGATTTAATGTTAAGAATTAATCTAAGTCTGCTCGAAATGCCTAGCCATGCTAGATGTCCTAGTGGCCCCCTCTGTAATTAGTATTTTATAACATGTAAACCACACAATACCCAAAACCTGTAAACCCCACATTGTAACCCTTATAGAGAATACACTTGAATTGAATTGAATTAAAATAGCTAAGAATTTGGTCAAACAGAGCAATGAAATTTGCTTAAAATAGAACTTAAGGTGGGTGAAATTGCCAATGTATAAATTGTGCTGAGACTGCTAACTTTGTGTGTGTAATTAACCCCTAAACGGTCGAGACGTATATATACGTTCTTACCGCTAGCGCCCCAAACCTATATATACATTTTATTTTTCATTCATTCAAAATTGGCGCGATAGGCCTGAGTCGCCTAGACATGAGAGAATGGGTCTGTGTGCTCAGTGTGCACCATATGAAAAAAATCAGGGACGCCTGAGTACCGCATGGTAGGACCAGTTACATTCAGCGCCATCTTGGGTCAACATCATGGCACATCCTCGTGATTCACTCACTCCTCGTCATATTAACACTACTATTCAAGGAAAGTGATATAGAACGTGAGTTTAGTGGATTTTACACCAATGGGGCCACTAATAATCAAGGAATTAGTGAAAATATTGACGATAACCCAGATGACCCTCAGCCCATCACTTCTGGGGTGGCCAAACCAGACCCTGGGCCAAGCACCTCTGGGGTAGCCAGTGTGGCCACACCAGACCCTAGGCCAAGCAGTTGTGGGGTGGCCAGTGTGGCCACACAAGACCCTGGGCACCAATCACCTCTGGAGTGGGGAGTGCTACCCATAGTGAGTGTGATGTAAGTGATGATGAGATTGATTTTATGTCATTCGAGGATTCATCTAGTGATAGTGAAGTTTATTATTCACCAGTGAAGCGTACTTTTAGGCATCATCATCTACGTTCAGGCAGTGTGCCATATGCAGTCCCCAAGGGTCATGGCAGGTTACGATCCAAAACCCCTGGCCACTGATAGTGATAGTGATCATGAAGGTGAATATGCGGTAATGGCAGGAAGTAGTGGCGAGTTGCATGGTGCCTGGACCACATGGCGAGGTGGGTGGACAGACAGAGGACTGCCCGGCACCCCCTCAACCATGTGCTGCCTCCACTCCTGTCCCTCCTCCTGCTCCCCTTGCCCCATGCCACAGGTCCACCCTGCACCATGTGACCGTAAGTGGAACTGGATACAAAGTATATTCGTGCCACAGCCTTGTGATCTTGATGCGAATGGAAGTGGCATCCTGCCAGAATGTCCCCTAATGAATGAGTTTGCAGAGTTAGACATTTTCTAGTTATAGATTAACAAGCCCATAATGAACTTGATAGTGACCCAGACAAACAATTATTACCGATATGTCATGGACAACACAGCAGAGGTTGGAGAATGGTCACGGCTGCGCAGGTGGAAAGATACAAGAGTGGCTGAAATGTATTTATTCCTTGCCACTATCATGCTTATGCCACATACCTATAAGAACAATATACGTAACTACTGGTCCACAGACCACTTCATCAGTACTCCAGTCTTCTGTGACCTCCTTCCCTGCAACAGATTCACTCTGTTGCTACGAATGTTGCACTTCTCAGACAGGAATATGCCAAACAGAAATGACCTTCTATACAAAATCCGGGAAGTGTTTATGCATTTGAAGCAGAAATTCAGTGCATACTTTTATCCCTTCATGAACATTGTTGTTGATGAGTCCTTGATTTTGTTCAAGGGACGACTGTCATTCAAGCAATATATACCGAGCAAACCTAGTCACTGTGGTATAAAACTTTTTGTTATGTGTGACAGTGAGAGTGGTCTTGTGTTGGATGTCATTGTATACACTGGGAGAAACACACTCGATGATGACAGAAGGATGTTGGGCATTTCTGGTGATGTTGTTCGCAGGGTGATGGAACCATACCCTGGCAAGGGCCATACATTGTACACAGACAACTGGTATACAAGCCCTATGCTCACTGATTTCCTACGTGTGAACAATACTGATATATGTGGAATAGTGAGAAGGAACAGAAAACATATGCCAAGGTTCAGTGGAGGCAGTGTTGAAGGTGCAATGCAAGTATTTCATGCTAATGACATCATGGCACTGACATGGCATGACAAACTGAATGTGATATTGCTGTGAAGCATCCACAGAAACGAGGTGGTACAAATAGACAAAGTGAACAGGGACACCAATGAACACATTGTAAAGCCAGTTGCTGTTGTGGACTATAGGAACAATATGCGACTAGTTGACAAGTGTGACATGATAGGGTTCAGTGACTGTGTGCGTAGGAGTCGCAAGTGGTATATAAAACTGTTTTTTTTACCTTGTAGACATTACAGTGCTCAATGCATTCAATATGTATGAAATAAAGACTGGAAAACGACAACGTTTTGGAGAATTCTCCCTGAATGTCGTAAAACAGATAGCAAGAAAGTATGGTACCACACCTGTACCTGCCCCTCAACAGCGACTTGTCCCACAACCACAGCCAGTGGGGGAAGTGCCAGACAGAATCATCCCTAACTGTCACTACCTGGTACCAATACCACCTACTCCAAAGAAGAAGAATTCCCAGAAAAAGTGTGTTGTATGTGCTTCCACCACAAAATGACCCCAACAGTGGAAGGAAACACAATTCATGTGTCACTCTGCATGAATCCATGCTTCATGGAGTATCATACAATCGTGGAATTCTAGAAACATAAGTGGGACATGTAAATACAGGTACCATCCGACTTACAACCGAGTTCGGTTCCGACAAACCGGTCGTAAGTCAAAATGGATGTAAGTCGAACCTTACTTCTGAAAATCAACATCACATTTCTGTAATGACTTTATTTTATTGTTTCATTTTGGTATTTGATTTTTACTTTACTTTTTATGCTGTTAGTACTGTATTTTATACTGTTAGGTTTAGGATAAACACTGTGTACAACACAAACAGTTGTTTATTTCCCAGAAATTTGGCATAGAAAACACGGTTGTAAGCCGAATGGGCGTATGTCAAGCAGGTCGTAAGACAGATGGTAGGTGTACTTCTATATAGTTGTAGATAATAGAATGTGGTTCAGCCAGGTGTGCAAAATAACCAGTCTGTGTGTACATGTGTGTTTATGACAGTATGATGATAATTTCATATATAATATTGGTGTATAAACAACAATTGGAATTGAAATCAAAAGATTTACTATAAAACATAATTTTTTTTTTTTTTCAACAAGTCGGCCGTCTCCCACCGAGGCAGGGTGACCCAAAAAAGAAAGAAAATCCCCAAAAAGAAAATACTTTCATCATCATTCAACACTTTCACCACACTTGCACATTATCACTGTTTTTGCAGAGGTGCTCAGAATACAACAGTTTAGAAGCATACACATATAAAGATACACAACATATCCCTCCAAACTGCCAATATCCCGAACCCCTCCTTTAAAGTGCAGGCATTGTACTTCCCATTTCCAGGACTCAAGTCCGACTATATGAAAATAACCGGTTTCCCTGAATCCCTTCACTAAATATTACCCTGCCACACTCCAACAGATCGTCAGGTCCCAAGTATCATTCGCCTCCATTCACTCCTATCTAACATGCTCACGCATGCTTGCTGGAAGTCCAAGCCCCTTGCCCACAAAACCTCCTTTACCCCCTCTCTCCAACCCTTTCGAGGACGACCCCTACCCCGCCTTCCTTCC